AAAAAAAAAAAAAAAAAAAAAACAAAAACTGTCGCAAATATTTGAATAAAATTTTCGAAGTTATCTTTCACAGAGACGGAGAGAAATAGAGAGAATTAATATTGAAACAAAATCCAGCAGCGGAGAATTTTTCACAGTGCCGAGCGAAATCGTTCGCAGTAATTTCTACGATACAATATTTGCTGAATATTTGTTTGATTTGGAAATTACTTTCCTTTGTTGGCTCGATCAAAATAAATTTCAATTGATTGTAAAGTGTCGATTGCTCTTACTGCTGCTTGCTCTTCTAATCATTTTTTCTTTTTTTTCTTTTTTTTTTTTTTTTTGCGAAATTTCGTTCGTTTTTATATGGATCGCGAGCTTGTCTTATCATTGGTTGGTTAGCATCACTTTTCACAGACGGATTGAAAATAGAAAAGAGAGTTTCAACGATTCTTCTTCTTTTTTTTTTTTTTTTTTAATAAAAAGGAGGAAAAACGTAGAGGAATATCTTTTCACCTGATGAGCTTGGCACCAATTGCTTCCTTCGTTTCCTGCCTCTCATTGTCCGTCTGTAGCTGAAGGATATTCCTGTTGATGAGCTCCTGCCTGTCTGGCCTGAGGGCGAGCTTCAGCGACAGCGACTCCTTGCGCGCAATCTTTGCTGCCAACCGGCCTGTAATTAGAGAAACAATTAGTCTCTTAATTAAACGTCACTTATATGTTGGCGCGTCTGAGGCAGGTGAATATTACTCTCGAGGTAATACTAATTAACTTTCTGAAGGATTTAACAGTAGTTTCGTAGACAGATTGCATCTCTTGTTGGTGTAATAAATTCGTTCAGCGATGAAAAACAAGTGCGTGTTTATACGATTGATTATTCTCTACAAGTGAATTACGAGTAATTTTGAAAATTTTTATAATTCCATCTATGTAATATGTGTATCTCTACGTTCTTCGAATTATTATATATAATTATTACCTGTAAAGGTAATCTTTCTTGCACTGAAATGATTAACATTCCAACGTCGATAGTACAGTGAATGTTCCAATAAATTTAAATCGTTCATCAATATCACAAGTTCAATATTTTCTTAATTTTCTGTAATATTTTAAATATTGTACGTTATATTTTCAACTTCGTATTTATAGTGTTCTTTTATTCAATGTGGATTTTCTATAATACGTGCTTCTGGTACTCCTCGAAAACATTAAGAAGCAATCGAGTCGAATTTATTACACAACCTAATAATAAATATATTAGACTCGAAGTATATTAAATCGATATATATTAGATTCTATTTAAAACTTACTATTTAATTTATCAGAAAGTATAATATAGTATATTGTATAAATGTATCTATAATATTTCAGATAGAATTTAATATATCTAAATATGCTATCTGAAATATTCTATTAACATAATTGTATACACTCGATATACATTGATACATTTCGTACACGTTTAAAAAGTGAAATCTGAAATATTCCTCTTGCAACGTAATAATTTCGAAAAATTAGATTAAAGATCTTTTTTTCGATTTTAACTTTGAATCAGCATTTTTCCAATTTTATTTGGATAGACATCCTCGGTTCACTAATAAACAAACTGCGGATTTTCGTGCATTTTTAAATTTTTATGATCAAAGGAACCTAGATATTTCTAAACATGATTAATGGAATCTAGATTTTATTTCACGTAAATATTACAATGAATACTCTACTTTACATGTTTCAACTATTTTTTCACATTACATGCATTGTATGCATCTTTGCATCTTCAAATTTACCACCATAAATGCGTAGAAATCTGCATTCTGCCAAGATTTTTTTAACGACATTATTTATTGTTAAGCCATAATTCATATGATCGAAGAACACGTTAAAACTTCCATCGATCGTTCTCTATTTTAACTATTTAGCCATTTAAACTCAACGACGATTTACCATCGACGAGGGAAGAGCAGCTAAGGCTACGACGTAGAGAAGATTCATGATTGAAAGGTTCCATCGAGCCACAAGCGATCGACAAAGTCGACGCGGTCCAGATCGACAGCATGGTGTCATCGCTCTCTCGACTCTTAATTCACCTCTTAATCCTTGATCTTCTCAAGAAAATTCCCGATGTGGACTTCTTCTCGAAGCACAAATCCCCACAAAATTCACACACGAATTCACTCCACAAATTCACAAACGTAGAGTAGAGATCTAAGGTTAAGTTCAAGCCAGGTTGACAAATCACAAACGTGATTCGTAGGTATTCAGAGTATGCTTTTTAAACACATCGACAGACTTTCGATCGTTTTTCTTTTTATAGCTCTCAACGTCTTTGACGACGAATGATAGAAATAGACGGATGGATGATCTTGAAAGTGTCTCGTAGGAGGATGATCGATTTTTTCGTGGGTCGAAATTTTTGTTTGGCGATCGAGGCGGAAAGCTTCGGCAAAACAACGGCCAGAAACACACTGAACTGGTTGCCAGCGATCTTCGGGAGATTAATATAACCTCCGTGGCGTTTGCGTGATCATGTGTCTGTCTATGTGAATAAACGTATCGCGCTTAGGTGTATAATTAGTCCCGACCACGAATACTGATTTCGCGCGTTTGGCAATCGGGGTCGTTTTCTTACGACCCTTTAACGCCTCGTGTTTTATCGCGCGATGTGCTGGTTTCACCCCTTTGTTCCGGGTTGTATCTTGGCTTGTATCTCTATTCTCTTATTCGAAAGAGCACGCTCAGAGGTAAACTCACACTCACAATCGGAGATCTTAGAAAATAAATGATTGTTGTGCTTGCTTCGAAATTAGAAAAAAAAAAAAAAAATCAGCTGGGTAATTAAAATGTCGAGAAAATGTTCTTCAAGCTTCTAAATTTGGAAATTTCAATAAATGTTCACTTTATTTATGGGAAATAAAAAACTTCAATTTGTGGGGAATATATTATACACCGGATTTAAAAATATTTAAATATCTTGAGTCTGACTAAAATTTTTTTAAAGAATGCATTCGTCGAAATTTTGCTCTAAATGACGAATGTTATTTTAAGAATGATCTTTGAGCCTATTATGTTTTCGATTTTTGATCGTTTCGGTGAAAAATATATACATATCTGTAGGCATTAATTCAGATTGGCTTGATTTCGCAGAGGATGAAACTGAGTAAACGAACTTAACGAACGCGATCTCGCGGAGCGTTTTCAGTTCGAGAGGTACCATTGCTTCCTGTTTTTGTTGAATGAAACATAACTGGATACACCGGGAGTGGAATTAGTCCAAGATCTAAAAGTCCACGCAATGTTTTTTATATCGAATTCTCGTGCTGCATTATCGCGTATTCTTTGTAATAAATTTCTATTTTTTTTTTTTTATCTTCTTTATCAATTTCGAATATTTCGAAATATTCTTTCGCTGTTACATTGTACTGACTTGTCGAGCAAAAACTATTTATGAACAATTATTTACGAATAAATCGAGTTCAATGATTATCTTGTTGTTCGTGAACAAATTAAGTTAATAATTAAGATAAATGTTTACAGTTATTTTTGTTCAAAAGAATGGATAAATATGTGTACAAAGTTTTGTCCAAAATATATTGGGAATAAATAACTACAAAAATAACTAGATTTTCGTATAATTAATAAGGAAAGAAAAAGGAAATACAAGACAGAATGAAACGAATAACTTAATAGGAGGAGAAATTTGCAACGATGAAAATTAGATTTATGTAAGAATAACGAATTTTTATGTAATGGTAAAGCGTATAATTTTACACGTTTAATCGTTACGTAATACTGACGTAACACACCTTTCTATATATTGAACGAACGCACGGCAAATAAAATTTCATTTGGTATTCATTATTCGAACAGAAGTCCGCCTCAACAATGCCCAGCACGATTCTGGAGCACGTGTTTAAAACATTGCACCATCGATTTTTTTCCTTCTTTCATTTAACCTCTGAATTTCCAACTCGAACATTTACCCTAAATTATACACTTGTTACTTGATTGCTTGCTTTCGGTTAAAACATGAACCAGCAAAGCAAGTTATTGCA